CACACAGCACCCACATTATAAATGGTTCATCCACAAATGTCTGCCTTCACATCTTCAGGAAAAAACGTAACCTGCCTCTGAGGATAGCCAGCTGTTGGCTTAAACAACCTTCAGAATTATTTTCACTGTGTGAACTTCCACCATTGAAACAGTTTTAAAAGCCAGCTCCAGCTTTCAGTTCTCTACAGTTTATTTTCCAAAAAATCCACCAGGCAACATAAATCCCTGGTGATGAATGCCAGTACTGATCCACAGCAGCAAGCACTGGTACAGAAGGAGAACAAGACCTGGAAAAGATCACTAGAAGGAAAAAATAATAGTAAAAAACTTGCTCAGCCTAAATGGGGATTATTTGTACTTAGCTTGGAAAGCTGAAAAGCTGCTTACAAAAAACAAAGTAGGCAATATTGTGTTAAATGATAGCCAATTCAAGCAAACAAATTCACGCTGGAAAACTGGAATTCAATCCATCATTCTAACAACTTATTACACTACCCAAGTGCAGTACTGCAACTATGCAGTTTGCTATGACTGTTCTGTACTACGCACCCTGATCATTCACTAATCCATTCATCTTGGTTTTCTGCTTATTACTAAATTCCTAAATTGGTTTCTCCCCCTCAAGCTAATTTTAAAACCTGACATATTCCTCTACCCAGAAGAAACTCCAACCGCATTTCACCTACATCATTTACCACCGCATGTCATCAATTCCCTTCTTTTTACTTCCAAAGCAGTCTATGAACGTGAAGTCTGGCTCCCTGGCTAACAGGAGACACGCAGCTCCATGAGGTGACACAAGCCATGTTGCCACGTCTGTAACCCAGGCACTTTTAATGACACGACCCCTCCCTCATGGCGAACCTCCATCTGGAGGATAAGCACCAGCATCTCTGGCTGGCAGAAAAAGAAGAACAAGAAAGAAGCAAGACAAACTACTACTAACAGTGAAAGAGACTACCTTTGGCAATGCAAAAGCAGTAACAGATTCCACACCTTTTTAATGTAGTTATCTTTTCCTTATTCCAAACTCAACAGCGCCTGTGCTGGAATGTGTCTAACCTAATGGACATGCAGCTCCTAATCCAGCCTCCTAATTCAGCACCTTTATCTCATCTAGTGGCATCATGGCTCTCTGTAGTGCAGTGCTGAACCTGTCACAGAGATCAGGGAGAGAAAATTACCAGAAAGAAATTTCAGAGAATATTACTCAGGCTCAATGGCACGGCTCCTACCGATCACATACTGATGCAAATGGTCTCACACACTAAAACTCCTGATAGCTGAAAGGCCCTTATAGGCCCACTTTAAGCTGAGCCCTGTTACATTCTCATCACTACCCATATCCCCGTGGTTGTTTCCTTCTCTCTTCAGTAGAGACTTCAACAGCTCCAGAGCAGAGTGCAAGAAAATCCTAGCAAAGGCTAGGTTCTACTTCCTCATCTTTGCAGTTGATGCTACCAATTAGAGGGACACACCTCACTCTAGAACAGTGGATGTCAACAGGGAGCAAAACCAGTTTGACAGAAACATGACATTTATTCTTAATTAGGGCCTATGGAAATAGATGTTTAGACTATCATCTTTAGTTCAGAGAATCCCCATGGTGTTGTCAATTATGAAAGCCAAGAGACAGATCACAGGCTCACCTCCTGCAGAACTCAGTTGAGACAACAACATGGCCTGGCACCAGCCCCAACATCAGGAAGCCCAGGTCTCTCAGTTTCCAGGTGAGCATCTCCCTACCCACGCTGAAACCCACCCTGTAAAATGGGTGATGGAACCTACAGACTTGGGTGATATGATGATGAGCAGCAAGGTCAATCCCCTCTGCACTCAGGTAGCTTGAGATGGAGCACCAATACACAAATTAATGGGGCAGTTCAAAGCTAAGAGCTGTTAAGAGCTCTCTATGTTTGAGCAGGCAATCATATCCATGATTAATCCTATTGAAAAACCTTTCTGACCAGTGTTTTCAGTAGTTAGAGTTCTGCTAAAAGGATTACACAAAACCTGGGATTTCATAACAAGTAACACATGATAATTTGCTGCATATGGCAGCCATTCCATAACCACTGACTGAACTCTGTGAAAGCAGCCACCTTTCAGATTTGCTCCACTTCATGGTTGGCCTTGTAAAGCTCAACATCCATTTGCTTTAAGATCAGATTTTCTTCTAGCTGTTTTTTTCAAGTAACACACAATTTTTGTTCATTTTTTCCCTAGAGAAAACATTTAACCACCACTGAATTGCTATATGAATAGCAGAAGTCTTCAATTCTTGTTCAGTTTCAGATTGTTTTCAATTTCTGATGTGTAATTTCAGCAAGCCTCTTACCAAGCAGTAAAATCCACAGCAGTTCACTCACAGCCTGCCATCAATTACTGAATCAAGCACGAATCAGGAAGCATCACACATATTAGCAACGCCGTGCTGCTTTCATACCATGAACCATATGAAAATTAGAGTGCAGCATTTTCCAGCAGACAGGCCTGTAATCATGTCCTCACCACTGCAGTTACCTTGGTCAGACTAGATGCTCTGTGTCACTTAGTCCACTCAAAGTGATGCAGCCTCAGAACAAAGGAAGGAACAGTCACTGCTACAACACCTGAGTAACACTGCAGGAATTAGCAATGAAGCAGTTGTGGTAAGCTTCGCTGATGCATTCCCATTATTTGCCCCACACCATCAGCAGGAAAGCCCCAAATCAGCCTGTCAAATGGCTCAGTGGCCATAACACACCACTCTACTCAAGACAATAGGCTTTTGCACAAGGCCCTAATAGAAGTCCCAGTCAGTAAGAACCTCAGCTAATACTTTTCTATCTAAACACCTAACCTACACTCATGAAACATTCTGAAGTTACTCTGAAATACAACTTGCTGTTTACATGTAGGTTTTTGCATTGCGTCTTCACAGATTCATATGAGAACACAAATACCTTGGTTAACACTCAGGTGTGAAAAGCTTCACATTTAACTGCAAACCAAGGCAAGCTACCAGGGCTGAAGTCATAAAGAACAGCTATCAACAAGACCCTAACAAGGAATTTTCTTCCTGTAAGTTAGTGCTTCTTTTAATTTTCTCCTACTAATACATTACTGCTGAGAACACATTACAGCTGCAGCTCACACAAGCTATCACACAACACTAGACAGAAATGCAGCAGGCACTGGCTGTATTTACAGCTGCTGGGCCTTGCCCAAGGCCCATTCTGTGCATGGAGTTACAAAAATGAAGAGCAAAACTAGTTGAAGAGACAACATATTTATTTGGGGGGATGTGGAGAAGCACTGTAGGAAGTATGAGTGAGTAAGACTCTCAATAACACCATTCATTTCCCTTTCTACTAATTTGTTCCAGGGGGTGAGCAAGAAAGTCACTGGTGATGTCATCATTCAAAAGCACCTTAATCATTTCAAGAAACTGAACAAAGCAGTCGCTCAAAAAAGAAAAAAAGAGCAGATGAAGTAGAAATATATGTAGCTTAAAAAAATTCAAAGACGTAGATCAAAATTTCACCAAGGCCACTGAGTCAGTTGACATCCTGCATGTCTATAAATAATTCACTAGCTAATAAGCAGTTTCACCAGCATTGCTTTAAGCAATCCCTTATAAGGCACAGGTTCCTAAGTGGGAAGTGGAACAATATAACACAGTTGAATCAGAAAGGCAGGATTTTTTACAGATGAAAACACATTTATATCTCAAACACTTTCAAAATGGCAATTTTTGTGGAATGGAAGAGCCAATGGAAACCAAATCAGCCTGGTATCACAAAGTCATCATCCTCTAAGAAACCTGAGAACATAGCTCATTTATCAAAACAGACTGATAAACATACTCATATTTCATCTCTGGTGAACAAAATAAAAATTACACAAAACCAAGAAGAAAAAATATTACAGATTGGTCAAATAGGTGCTTACCATTCCCTCTGCATGCTTTTACTTTAGGTCATGCTCAAGAAAAGGTAACGACTGTTTTTCCTATTGCTTTTTCCCACATGACTGCAGTTTAACAAGGGGACTTTTTGGAAGATGAAGCAAAGGAACACAGAGGGGCAACGTCAGGTTACTATAAGTACTTCCACGTAACTACAACTGTATGATACAAGTTTAAAAACACTTACGCTGCTGTTGTGAAGGCAGCGAAGTCAGCTTTCACCTCGGTATCTGCCAAGTCTCCTTCAATGGGTTTGCCTCCTACAGCAGCCTGTTTCTCAGCAACGGCCGTTTCACAGCCCTCCTCCCACGGACAGACTGGCGGTTACTTTGTAAATAGAATTAAGTCGCTTTAGGGGGAGCTGCCTCTCGTGTCCTCGAGATGTTTTGAAACGATGACCTCTCAGCCTGTCCCTCGAACTCGCCTCCTCGGTTAACGAGAGCTCTCGTGAGGTGGAAGCGGACATTGCTGGCGCTACCTCACCGAGGGCAAGACTGTGGGGGTTACAGTTCAAACAGCAACGCTTAGCTAACGGAACAACACGCCACGAGGCCCCGAGCTAGAGGCCTCCGAGCCATCCCAGCTGCTGCCCGCTATCCATCGGGGTTCGGACAACCAGCGCCCTGCCAGCAGACGGGAAGCGAGCGACGAGAAAAGGTGCCCGCCTTACGTCCACCACAAGCGCCATAAGCGCGACCGCCGCAGCCCCGGGGCCCGGCCAGGCCGCTCTTCGGGGAGCGCTCCACTCACAGCTCAGGGACATCCCAACTCCGGGACATGCCCCGGCGCCACGCCCGGCTCCCCCGCTACGGGACTCAGTACCCTAGCGGAGCCAGGGAAACAGCCACAGAGACCAGGTCGCAGATCCGACCCGCCACCACCTCAGAGCTCCATCAGGGGCCGCATCCGTCCCCGCGCCGCCCTAATACGCTTCCGCTCCATGTGACGCACTTCCGCTCCGTGTGACGCACTTCCGCTCTGCGCGCCTGTTCGCCCCGCCCATGCCGTTCCCGGCATGCCCCGCGTGGCTCCTCCCCCCCTGCCCCCGCAGAAAGCCGGGCCGTAGCACTGAGCTGCCATTTTGTTGGCGGCTGCTGCGGCTGCGGGCCGTGGCTGTTGGTGTGGCTGAGGCGCTGCCCGCAGCGGCGGCTTGGGGCAATTTTAAAAGGCGTTTTAATTTGGTTGAAGGCGGTGGTGCCCCAGCCCTGTTTTAATCCGCTATGTCCGGTGATGGAGGTACCGGCGAGCAGGTGAGCAGTAGCGGAGGAAGCCCATGGGCCGCTCCCTGAGGAGGTGTGGGGCCGGGTGGCCTGTGGGTCGTCACTGAGTCCGGGCGGTGGGAACGTGGCCTTCCTCGACCGCTGCCCTTGACGGCGCGGCCGGAGGGCGGCTTCCTGCACACATGGCCGCCCCGCCGAGCCCTTGGGGGAAGGAAGGGCCGTAGGGCGGCTGCCCGGCTTCCCGCCGAGCTGAGCGGGCTTGGGGCGGGCGGGAGGCGCGGCGCTGAGGCCGTGCTCGTCGCGTTCGGTCACGTTAAACGTGCGAGGCTCTGGGTTCCTTCCCTAACGGTACCGTTTTCCTCCGAAAGCGTTTAAACGTCTGCAGATTAGAAGCTATAGAAACGTGCTCGTGTAATAAAGGACCCTTTTTTTTTTTTTTTTGAGGGCGGGTTTGGTGTTCTCTCTCTGAGGAGGGAGCAGTTCTTGTCTTGGCTTTGGCTTTACGCTAGAACACGCACTTTCTTGTTTTCCAGGTAGATGCAGTTCAGCGTCAGGGATTGAAGTGTAGTGTTACTGTGAGATATTTCCTGTTTACAGATAAGTCTTTTATAGGGCCTCGTTAGTTGGGACAAGGGATGCAGGTGGAGTTTCCTAGCTGAGGGAGGAGTGGTTGATATGCTGTGAAGTGCCCATGTAGCCCGCAGAAATACTTAAATTTTAGCTGCAGACTTAATACTTCCTTCTTCAGAAGGTTTTGTTTTGGAAGAAAGTTTCTTTCCAAAGCAGGTTTGTGTGTGGGCTTGCATGGCAAAAGGGTGTTGTGTGAACTCTTCATAAGGTGCAACTCTTCTGGAGGGAAGCATTCGGAATGTAGAATAATCATTTTCTTTCTTCTTGGGAAATTGCTATGCATTACTGTTCTGTATGCTCAGGGCTGCTCAGCTCAGCGATTACACTTGTCTGTTCAGGTGAGAGGTCCTTCAGAAAGGTTTACTTCAGCACAGGAAGAATATGTTACAATAAAATGTTGGTGATTGTGATGTGTAATTTCACATTTAAGCTACCTACTGTGGTGAGTGGTTTTGTGTCTGTTTTGTTTTTCTGAATTTACATTGGCAGGTAACTGTATAATTAAAACTTGATTAAAGCAGCATGCTCACTTCTGTAACGTGTAATATATTACTTTTTTGCTTAAAAAGAGAGTCAGTGCTGCCTTAAGGCTTTACTTTCTTTTGTGAGGAAAGACTTAATATGCTAAAGATGGAGTGACTGCGTTTACTGAAATAAAAGGTATTGTGGAGAGTTTTGATAGGCGTAGCAATGTGGTGCCATATCATAGAGGGCCTCAGTATTCAAAAAATGGCAATTTATTTGTGGTACCCACAGGGTGTGAGGTTTAGTAGACGACTTGTATTTTTTTTATGCAGAACTAATAAAAAATGATAGTTAATTTGATTCCTGTTTTCATGTTGGGTGCTATTTAAATAAATTGAGCTTTTTTTAGGTTCAGCTGAATCTTTGTTTTTATATACTGTGCTCTTTACAAAGGCCTCTGTATTCAGTTCTCCTGGAGGATTTCAGACTTTGTTACAGTCGTCTCCTTCCATTAGTTTATGTCCATTTGAGGGAGTTGTCCTCTGCAATGTTATTTTTCTTGCCCTAGCAGACTTTAGTTTCTTACTCCTAATGTTAAAACAAGGTTATAATTTTATATTGGTGTTTTGAGCAAAATGGAGGCTCCCCATTTCAGGTTAACAACTGACTGATTGTGTTTTAGGGCAGGTGTTTCTGAAGTTTAAATGTTTATCTAACTGTTCTCTTTGCAGTTATCTGTGGGCAGTGCTTTTGGTGGAAAAGGAACAACAGAGTGCTGGGAGTGGGGCAGCTGTGCCTTGCTCTCTTAACTCACATTGCAGCTGATAGATATCACAACCTAGTGCTGTGTGGAGGTCTCTCTGACCTTACATAGACAACATTTTTATGGCTTTAAATGTACCTTAATGTGAGAAGCCAAAGTTAGACACAGGTTGGTGTGCATCTGGTGCTCTTCTTTAGGGCTTTCTCTGTTGCCTCTATGACCAGGTTCTGGGATTTTGAGTGCTGTTATTATTGGCAGTCATTTATCAGTTTAAGGGGTGACTGTGCAGTCATTTATCAGTTTAAGGGGTGACTGTACAGTTAATATCCATTATGTTGTGCACTGGATGTGCGTGTTAGTGTATGATGCTGATGTTAAATAACTGCTAGCACAAGCACTGACACAAGGGTGTTTGCATCGTGCTTCCCAGGCCTTGGGTTTGGAGAGGATTTCCAAAAGGAGCCAAGTGAAGGACAGATTGCCATGCTGTCTCTCAAGCACAAAATTATGGCTATGCAGGAAGGGAGAACAGAGTGTTGGGTGTAGATATTGTAAGGTTAAAGGCCCAGCTGGAGTATCAGAGGCTTTATTATACCAGGTGTGGTGCAGCTGAAACAGTTCAGCCTCAAGGCAGTGAAAACATGAGGCACTGTTGGGCAACTCGTAAGCTGCGTAAGGGGGGTTGTCTGCTTGCATTGCTAGCCTAGAAGAGAAGGGAAGCAGGAGGGAGTGGGATAGGGAATATGGTGCAGCCACCACTGTTGCTTGAACTACCTTTCGAGTCAGAGTAGTTTCAATTTTAGCACTGTTTGTTGTGTTGGACCCAAACTAATTTCTGCAGAAACAGTTGTCAGGTCTTCTGTTAGGTCTCTGCTGAACTCCTGGTGTGAGGTCTACGTGATGTTTATCCAGACAGAATTTCTAGGATTGGTTTCTAGAGCACCAACCATTTATATAATAGAAATTCACATTTTGTAGACTGAAAGGCCGTTACTGTTTGCCATAAAATTCCCTCATTTTATTTGACGAGCTGTTTTCAGTCTCTTCGTCTGTCAGGGCTACTAGGAGTATGCTCTCACAACTGTGAATTTCTTTGTTTTTTCTGGGCCATAAAGTATCTAGTTTCATTTTGCTTCCTGTACTCTCAGACAAGGCCTAAATTCTCTTCTTGCCTCTGTCTGCTGTGGCAGAGTAAGTTCCCTTATCCACTTAATAAATCCCAAGTTGCCAGACAACAACTTTAGATAAAGACTTGATGTGGTATGTTTTACCCTGCCTTAGGTTAATCTTCTATGGCTACAAACAAGCAGATAAGGCTTCCTGTAACTGCGAGATGTGCCTCAGTCTGTGGTGCAGGTTATTCTTTATAAATCTGTTCCAAGACTGAACTGTGGGCAAAAAATGGCAGTGTTGTCTCTGTGTCTTTAGGAAAGACCTCAAGACAGCTTGTTCTGGTTTCTTCCTGGCATTTTCTACTTTTCTACTCCTGTCTCTCATTCATACCTCATGTCTGTTTGGTACAGGGTTTGGAAATCTAAGTGCAGTAGTAAATGCTAAGATAGTTAACGTTTTAACAAGGTTATCATTGCTGAGAATGAAAGCGAAAGTTTCTTTTTGCAGGGTGGCACGGGTTGCACATGTCAGGAGGGGTCATTTGGAGAAAAAAATCAAGCCCCTCTATGAGCATGTTATTTTGTATGGTACTTAACTGGGTTTACTGTTACTGTTTATGGTTACTGTAGGAACTGCTTGTAAATAGAATGAGAACAAGCATGGATGGAGGGAGACTTTGGACTCAGTTTTGCAGATGTTTTCAGATATACAAAGAAGAAATGAAAGTGAAAAATGTCTAAACACTGGGATTTGGGAAAGAGGAAATAAGAGTAATTCTTAACCTAAAGCTCTGATTTGTACAGAGATATAAAACAGCCCAGGTTATGTTCATGGGGGGCTTATGCGTAAAAGTATTCTTCTAAAAATTATTTGATACTTTACTGACTTACTTTTGCTAATAGTGACCCAGTGTTAAAGGGCAAAAATTCTTCCCAAATTGCATTCATGGTTGAATTTGCATAGAAGTAAAAAAAAAAAAAAAAAAAAGACAAACCTTTAAAAATAGATTTAAGTCTTGTCTATGAGAAATACCCTCCTTTTTGCTATCATTGCTGTTTGTTGAACCGAGGAAAGGCAGCCTGGTTTCTGTGCTTACACAAGGTGACCTGGGGTGCAGTGTGATTCTGGAGTCATTGTCCAGCTGGGTATTTATTCTGCACTGAGTGGCTGTGTGTGGTGTAACTGGGAGGTACTGAAGTACTGGATGTGTAACTGAAGGCAATTACAAACTGGTTCTGTGCATGTATAACTGCAAATCAACTTTGAGGAACAAACTTGGGCTAGCCACACTGTAAATTAACCAAACTGGAAAACCAGCAATGCTTGCTAAGTTGTATGGTAATGCATTTGAAGTTGGATTCATCAGCTGTGTTACAAGCTGGGCTATGCTAAACCACAGCAAACAGTCAAAGCGTCCAAGAGTGAACATAAAACTCCTTCCAGACATTAATCCACTTGACTGATACAGCTGTTGGAATTGCTTTCTTTTTGTGCACAGCAGCCTGTATGTCTTGTTTAAAGACTACCACCAATTGTGCAATGAGATCTTCTACAAACATCTTAAACAGGCCACAGGTGAAATAGATCTTCCTTTTACTGCAAAAATACCCCTTGTGGCAGCAGGATGCTTTAAGCAGCTGGATGCATTCTGTTGTGTGATTGTTTGAAAAAGGTGTGTGTGTATCTCATGCAGTGTGCTCTGGAGTCATGAGGCTCGTTCTCAGAGGCCTGGGGAAAGTTTTAACTGTTGCCTTCAGTTGTAAGGCATGAAGTTAAGTTCTCATTGAAAAAGAGCTTGGAGTAAATATTAGAAGTTCATTCTGTTTCTTGTGTTCTTATTCCCTCTGGCATATTGTATGGATTCAGAGGTGGCTGACTGATTTTGCTGGTCTTGATATCTGTGAAACTAAGAATCCATAGCCATTTATTTATGTGCAAGTTATAGAAGCTCTGAATCCGACTAGATGTTATGAATACAAACACAGTCAAACGGAGTGCTGAAGTAATTCAGTGACCTTCAAAGGATTGTTTGTGAGATAGGTGACCTATTACAGAGGAGATTTGCTGCATGTATTTATCAAAAGGAAAAAAAGTACTTTTCCAGCTTGTATGCAACAATTCTTAGCAGTGTTTTTTCTAGATGTTAAAGAAGTGTTAGAGGCTAGTGTTAAATTAGGTTTTGTAGTAGTTCAAGCTGATCTAAGCTAGAACTCAAGTCCTATGCTTTTCTCAATCTTGTATTCTGCATCATACCCGACTCTTGTTCCAGAGAGCTGAGCCCATTAGAGAGTTAACTGCTTTCCTAACAGTGTGTGTGTGTGCTGAACTCCCTGAACTGACTTGTTATAGAATGAGGCAACTTGCTGTGTTGTAAGGTGTGTTGTAAGGAGAGGAAGGAACCAAAAACGCTGATGTAGGGGCAGAATCATGGCAGCAAACGGCACCCTGTGATTTAGGTGTTTACGCTGTTGGATGGTGGTTGTTGTGCAAGTAGTGCACTTCCAAGTACATAATAAAAGCCATGTACTCCTAAACTGTTCAACAGCAACTCTAAGCCCCGTGTTAATGTTTAGGTTGAAGGTTTCAGGTCCCTTCACTGCTTGCTTACAGGTGATAATAGCCCTCATAGATTTGATGTGTAACTGAACACATGCATTTACTTGCATGCTCTGACAGTGTAATCCACTCTATAAAGCCTAAGCATTGGTTTCTCCAGTGAGTTAGGAGTGATTATGTGTGAATTACAGAATTACAGAATGGCCAGGGTTGGAAGGGACCTCAAGGATCACGAATTTCCAACCCCCTGCCTCATGCAGGGCCACCAATCTCCCCATTTCCTACCAGCCCAGGCTGCCCAGGGCCCCATCCAACCCAGCCTTGAACACCTCCAGGGATGGACAGGGCATCCACAGCCTCTCTGGGCAGCTGTTCCAGCACCTCACCACTGTCATAGTACAGAACTTCCCCCTGACATCCAACCTTAATCTTCCTCAACTTCAAGCCATTTCCCCTTGTCCTGCTTGTTATCTCCCCTTTCCAAGAGCTGACTCCCCTCCTGTTTGTAGGCTCCTTTTAGGTACTGAGGGCTGCAATGAGGTCACTCTGCAGCCTTCTTTTCTCCAGCTGAACAAGCCCAGCTCCTTCAGCCTGTCCCGGTAGTGAGGTGCTTTCAGTGAGGTGCTCCTGCCCTCTGAAGGTACCTGGTCGTCTTGTTTCAGTTGAGATATAACCAGAGCACTGGTTTCCCTGCAGTGCACTTTGCTCCTCTGAAACACAGATAGGTCTGATAAGGAATAGATATTTTTTTAGTTTACCTGGGGGGCTGGGAAGGGAGGGCTTGCTGCCCTTTACAGAGTGGGTGTTTTCTTACTTGTGATGTTAGATGTAAGCAATCCAAAACAGTCCAGCTCAAAACCCCGATCATATCTCATCAGTTCTGCAGAGCTCCTATATTGTTCCTTTTGTTTGTTTTAGATGGCTGCCTGATAACTGTATCTGCTGATCTCAAGTGAATATTTACTGATTTAGGAAATCAGTCCTTTAGTTTTTCAAATAAAAGTCTGAAGGTTTTCTTACACTTGTATGGATAAGGTGTTCTGTTTCAAACAAACAAAACTAATGTAGGATTACTAGGATTATGCATCATTAAGTACAGCTTTTTTACAACATTATGTATGATTATGCATCATCAGTACAGCTGAGCTGCTGCTGTGGAACTGTTCAAGAGGCTGCAATGCACCTTTCTATGCTTGGTTTAAAAGTGACTACAGAACAGGACCCTGTGTTTCAAAAACACTTCAGTTGTTGTTGTAGGGTGGGTTTTTTTGCTTTGTTGTAGCCAGCATTAGCTGCAACCTGAAAACAAGGGGCTCCAAGGAAAGCTGAATGGAAAATAGTAATGATCTTCATACATAAATTCCTACAAAAGAAATTGACTTTTTTCCTTTTTATGCATGATGGTTCTGCAATGTTTTTGATAATTCTGTTTTATAATTTAAAATACTGTCTTAAATTAGTATTTTGTAAGGAAATACCTTGAATTATATTCTGCTGGTAGGACTGACAGAATGGTTGGTAATGCTGACAGGTATTCCTAAATACTGTAGCTTGGTGAAGTTGAATCATAATGGGGGACGTAAGCAACTGTTGTCTAGTTGTATATCTGTAATAATTAACAAAAATAAATTGGTATGGGGGAAGAAGAGGATCCACTTGTGCCTGTGATATGAAGTTCATATTTATAGCTAACTTGGGCTCACAGCATTTGCTATCCCCAACTTACTCTTGTTTTAATATCAGCTAGTGATTAGGGAACTGTAACAACACTTAGCTGGCAGCTTACCTTCCTGCAGTGTCACTGTAATACTTCTGTTTATTTTTTCACTGAGGAATTAATAGTGGAAGTCATTAATAGCTTGGATTTTTACTCTTGCAATGTCTGCTCGACAGAAATAGTATTTGCTACAGTGATACCTGTTAATTTTGTGGGAGGTTGCACCTCTGTAGTGATATATGTGCCTAGTTGTCCTCTTTTTTGAGTGTGCAGTGAAACCTTTGGTAGAGAAGAGTATCAGTTCTCTCTGTCCTGTCTATCACCTTTTTCATTGTCACACCTATGTACTGATCTAGATCCAGCATTTCAGTATGAAGAATTAAAATGATTTCTTTGAAATTAATCTTAAAGCTGACTTTTTTTTTTTTTTTTTTTTTAGTATTCTGTAATCAGTCACCCTCTCACACACAATTCAGAATGGTGTATTGCAACTGGAAACATGGAGTAAAGTTGTAAAATTTCTTGAGAAGGGTTTTATAATAATACAATAAATGCAGTCAGTGCTTCTGATTAGTATGTCTTGGGGCAAACAAATTCTGTGACTTGGGACTGCTGAGACGTACCTGAAAATAAATGGGGTTCAGAAAGTAAATAGCTTTTTTGGAGTACAGATTAGAACATTATTTCCCATTTTATGCAAAATTCATGCAACTTGCGCTTGTAACAACCATGCACTTAAAGCTTATGTGAATGGGATCATCACAGACGACCTATTTTCATTTAACTACTGAATCTAGTGGAAGTACTCTATCTTACTGAAACAACTGCTTTTACAGGGTCAGCCCTGATATCCGGAATGTTACTTTGTGAGAATGTTGTCATCAGCTTGATGTTGTAGCTGGGATTGTATTTGAGAAACTCTACCTGTGATCTCTTATGTCTTCTCCTTAATTTTTCTAGGCTGCTGAATATGTCCCAGAAAAAGTGAAGAAAGCTGAAAAGAAACTCGAAGAGAATCCATATGACCTTGACGCTTGGAGCATTCTCATTCGAGAGGCACAGGTTTAGTGACATAGGATTACATTTCCTTATCTATGGTCCACTCACACTATTTGGTTCTGGAGTAAAATCAGCATATTTCTTTACATAAGTCATAATATTGTAAATGCTGTTTTGATTTTCAATTTTTAGAATCAACCTATAGACAAAGCACGGAAGACCTATGAACGCCTTGTTGCCCAGTTCCCCAGTTCTGGCAGATTCTGGAAACTGTACATTGAAGCAGAGGTTAATATTTTACCATTCTTTCTTATATAACATTTAATAGGAATTTAAGTTTACACTCTCATATTCATAAATAAGATAGGCACATAAAATCTAGGGGGAGGTGGGATTTTAAGTATACCTTGCATTTATTTTGTAAAATAGGTACAAAGGAGTAATTAAAGTGAATTCTAAAGTATTTGGGTCTTTTATGAGTTGATGATTGTTGCATTATGGAATTGCAACAACATTAAAACAGTTTCAATGGTATTGGAGTGCTTTAGCCTTTTCTTTACTTGTCGTGTCAATTTATTGCCTCCCGTGTCATTTATTTAGAGGACTTTTTTTTATTCATACGTACAAACTTATTGAATGACTTTCTGTGGATGCTTGGATCTTTTAATATCTTTTCTTCCATAGAGAACTGAATATTTCTATGAGTAATGTGTTCAGGGAGGGTGTGGGATGGATGCTGAATTCTGGAATGGATGGGAAAATGTGTTAGCACAACTCATTAGCTTCTAGAGATACCAACAAAGTTGGGGTTATTTACTGATGTAAAGCAGCAGCATGTGTGTTGCCCCTAAGTGCATTGAGCATGTAAACAGGGTGATGTGCTGCAAAATCCACTCTTAACCTGGCAATCTTTTTAGTTTCCTGTAACTGGTAGATATTTTATTTTTCTTTACCAATACACATACTTTTTATGGGCATCTTTTAGGTGCACGTTTCTCTGGAGTCAGATCTTCTACCTGCTGCACAACAGTGGTGGGGTCCTTGGTTTCATAAATTAAAAAACTGAGATAGTTACTTTTTAAATTCTATTCATGTGAAAATTGGGAATCAGCAATGAATGGCAAAACTGCATGGTAGAGGTGGCCCGGCTTATTTACATTAAATTACATATCCACGAATGTCCTGGCAGGAAATTTTTGAAGCTTCTGAAATAAAATGGGGATCACGGGAACGTAACAGAAAATGTGATGTTGCAGTTTATAGCAAGACGTAGTAGTGCAACCTAAAATGATCAATATACCTAATGAAATACCCTTGAACTTGCACTGTTTTGTTTCTAGTCGTCTGTGGTTAGTGGAGTGTTGTTGACTGGACATATCTGGGAGACTGTGAATGCACTAACACATGTGGGTGTGAATTTTTCCTTTTGGGAGCCTACATCCAAAGCTGTTAGCCTCGTACCCTGCATAATTTGCTACAGAATCTAGTCTTTAGAATATTAACTTAGTTCGAGGATTACATTGAACTCTGATTTCTGAGGGATTTAGGACTTCTTTGAAACTGGTATCTTTCCTGTAACTCAGATTTGAGAGGTGAATAAGACCACCTCAGAAAGTCTGTGCTACACTGTAAATCTTTCATCAGAAAGTACCGTTATCAATATGAGGTTTCTTGTCTGAGGCTTCTTGTCTTGAAGGATAATCAGAGACTAAATGGCAGACATTACCTTCCTTTATCATTCTAACTAATTTATAATTAGTACTGTATACAGATACAAGTGCTGACAAGGCTTAAGCAGTGCAGGATATAATTCTTAAGTGCTTCTTCAAGGAATGGAGAAGAGCTTCTATCCAGCTCATATGTTAACCACTAAAACAAGGTAGACTTGAGGAAGAGGCAGTTGGCGTTAAGATCACTGTCTCATGCTTGTGTGCGTGTGTATCTGTCTACAACTACACATGAAATATACGAAAAATAGAATATGTTATTCTATTACAGAAAAAAGGACAAATGTGACTTGTGGAGTTTTGGTAAAGATTGCACTTGGAAAGGGTTGTATCTGAAGGAAATGGAAGAGGTTACTCTTTAGAAACTTAACAAATGAGGTTTTTTTTAATTCCAGTTAAAACTTAAATGTTCAACTGCAGTGGTTCCAGTAACTTCTCTCAAAACTCACGAAGTTGCTGATATAACTGATAAGCAATATGTTTATAGCTACCTTTTCCAATATATCCAACCGTTTATAGCTTTAAGATTAAATAACTTCCTATTTCCAAATTCTTCTCTGAAAAAAATCACAGTTGTGCACTCTTTTCACTGCTAAAGTTGTATGTGTCCAGTACTGTTGAAGTAAACACAAAACAATATTTTCTCAAACGTTCTTTCAACTGTGTGAATATAAATCAAATTTTATAAGTTTGCTGGAGAAATTATCTGGATGCTTCTTTAATTGCAGCTTTGAAATGTACAGGGAGTGTATTTCCCCAAAGCTGTATTTCCTTGGAGATCTTAGTGTTCTGCTGTCAAGCTTCTCTTGAATAGGTCTCTGTCCAGCCTCGAGTTGGGAAAGTAAACTTGCGGTGGATCTTTGCTTAGCCTTGCTTTTGATTCGCTTTTACTTTTGTGGGTATTTAAATCTGGAAATTGCTAAATCTTCAGTTATCTGTGAGCTGCATCTTTCCTGATGTCAAAACAAGCGTATCGCTTTCCTCTTTAACACCATAACTTGTTTCCTCTTTGCGTCACAGAGAAAAGGAGAGAGGAAAGTGGGAGCTGTTTCCTGGCATGTTGTCTTTAACTGGAGAGTTTTGTCCACTGAATACCTAAGTCTGAGATAAATATCCGACATGATGTTCTATTACTGGGAGATGAGGTAGGGTGAAGGTTACGGTTGTGGCCTTGTGAAAAAAGACTTAGCCTTTAGCGTATGTTCTTCATAACATTTGTAGAAATCTCCAAATTTCCCTTTGCCTATCTTGAGGAATGCTTTAGTTGCTTCCAGTCTTGGGATAGAAATCATGAGCTACATGAACAAAACCTTGTCTTGCATATGCTAGTTTATTATGTAATACAAAACTTTTAAGTGCAGACCTTACTGCTGTGGTTACTACTTTTTATGACAGTGATACTCACTGCTTTCTTTCTCCATATGGCTTGGTTTCCTAGTGAAATAGGTTGTAAAGCAGTACTCAGCACTTAGTATGTCTTCTGACTTATTGCCACTGATGTGCAGACCTCACTGAAGTAACTGAATACCTTGTGTTTCCATTTTATATGCCAAGCACTGACTGAAATACTCCATTCTCTCCCATGACTGTTTGGCGGTCAGTCAAACTTGGAGATGAACTGGGGAGGGCGTGCCTTGACGGTGTGCTAAGAGGAGCTACATTAAAGTTGGAAGTGGTCAAAAAGAAATTTTGATCCTGAGACTGGTTCTTAACACTTCTGTGTCCTGCATCTGCTTACTTAAATATCAGAAATAGTCAAATTGGATAAAAAGTCTGCCAGCTCACAGTGTTGTGAGGTCATAGCATGTAATTCTTGTGAGAGTAGTTTGTTTTAGTGGATTAAATCAAGTAGTCTGTTTTTATACACTTCAGCAAGTAGGAGTAGTTAGCTTGCTTCTGTATTTAGCATCTCCTAAAATGGAGGAATTAGAGCAGTAATGTTACTCTTGATACTGAGGCTGTTTTCTTTAGTTCAGAGCACGTTTTTTCTCTTGATACCTTTTCCATAAAAACCTACTTTCAAAAAACTCAAATCAATTCACATCTCAGTGCCTCTTTCACAGTTATAAGAAGGATCATATAAGTCTCCCATATGTGCCATAATGTTAAGTTCATAGATCACATGATCTGGATGTTAGCCTGCTCTGCTGATTTGCTCTGACTTCCTGGGTAAGTTATTGAACTGGTTTTACCATGATTAAAACACTCATACCTACCTACCTCACAGGGTTGTTGTGAGGCTTATTTTGAATGATTAAAGTGCTTTTGGCATCTGGCTAAAAGGTGCTGCACAAATGTAAAAAATAATAAATTCTGTTGTAATACACCCTATGATTCTGTAGGCCCAACTGTCTATTACTGTTTCTTCTGTCTCTTTGACTGTTTGACCCATCTTTTAGATGCAGAAAGATCTGATAATGCCTTTCACTTTCACTTCACTGGTGGTGTAGGTATTTCAGTAGTTCCACAACAAACATTTGACACTGTTGCCTTTTTTACCGCTAGTTTTCCTTGTGCAATCACAAATCTTTTCAAAGCACACTTGTTAAACCATGTTCGTATATTTGCAATGCTTTCCATGAATTTTTAGTTCTGTCAGGTTATGTGCAAACTTTAATCTGTAATTGTGCTGAATGCTTCAGGCCAGTTCACACCACACCTTCTTACCTTTTCTGTTGTTGAACATACCTTATTATATCCCGGTCACTTTGAACTGCTGTTAGTAGATGTTGAAAGGTTGCTATAATTAAAGATTTAAAAAATCAGAAGCACAAAACAGTTGTGATATATATAAATACCCCCCAAAACTAGAAACAATAAATACGACACTAGTAGCATGCATGTCAAGTGTTTGGCTGTTGATATGTATTTTTTGTTCTGCAATTTTTTTCAAATAAGCCTCCTGTGTTACTGCATGTTCTAAAGAAATGAAACTAGATATACTTGTTCAGATAACTTCTATCTGATACGAACATTTTGAATTTTAGATGTCTCAGTAAGAAAACAAGATGCTGTACGATGTTTCAGATGGTGGGACCAAGGCTTAGGGTTGATTTGTTTTGCATTTCATCAAATGCAATACATCAGTATCTTTAATTCATGTAACTCACACTGGTGTGGATACTAGTCAGAATGTATCATTTAACATACTTGTATATGAAAAATGCAAATAAAACCTTTTAGAAAAATGATTGTTTTTGTTTAAAATGTTTGTGTTTCTTCAAAGCATTTTCTTCCCCCATTTTGCTTTAATTTATTTCCAACTTCAGAACAAATGTTATTACTTATGCATATCAATATACTTCTCCTTGGGGTCAAATGGGAACTGACGTCTGTCAGGATGAAGTTGGAGTGATCAGAAGTCAAAGTAAAATAGACTTCTTGGCTGAGATTGTTTAGTGGTACTTCACTTGGAAAGATTGTGTATGTCCCCAGCCAGTCTTTGTGAACTTCTTAATGGAAGATATCCGCATTATAAACCATGCTACCCCTCCCCACCTCCACTATTTTGCTATGTTCCTTATAGTGAACTTCCAATTCTGAGAAACTGTTGTACAGTGCTCTGTACAAGCATCCATACGGCATGTTCTTGACTACTTCAGTCTGAGACTTTTTTGCAACTGTATTTATGCTCTTTTCTTATCCATCTGTGGACTTGTTCCATTCCTGTTAATAAATGTTGTTCTGTCTGTGTGATTATTGTAGACTTGCACTAGAAATTACATGCAGCTGCTTTTCTGTCTTTTCTATTCAATATGTAATTACAGACATGTATACCTTGCATAGTTGCCGTGGTCCTACGAGTGATGGAATATATGCACATAGTTGATATTTGTAGTTTCAGATTGTGTGGTACAATAGTAGTGAATTTTTATTTAAATGTTTGTTCAATCATAAAAATAACATCATGGGGGAAGAGTTAGTTTTAATTTCTGAAGTGGGAGCAAAACCTGATGAAGAGATGCCTGAACTCTCTTGTATATATAGTGCGTTGCTGTTCTCATATGAATAAACCTGGACTGCTTCCTGTTCTGTCATATTCTTTCAAGGTGGGGTGACAGCAACATTCTGATCAGAAATACTAGCTATATAAAACACTTTCACAACACTTCTGAAATCTCACTTTCAAATGTATTGAAGACAGTGAAAACTGCTTTTTATTGTGTGCTTTTTGTTTTTGAGGTCATGATTATCCTTCCACTCGTGTTTTTGGGCTGCGGGGGAAGTATGCGTGTCAGGTCAGGTGCAAACTTCAGCTGTTTCCTTATGTCTACCTGAAAGAACCTACAGTAAATACAGAGCTTTCCTATGGATCCTGTGTTAGCTACAGGTTGGTTATTTTCATCTTACTTGATGAAGGAGGTATAATTTGAAGTAGTCTGTCATGAGTTTGCATTCCTTCTTGCATCTCTTCCAGCAGTCAGCTGGTTGAATTACCTGTTGTTCTGTCGAGAGATTTTGAGAAGCCCAGTGGCTGTGAGAACACCTTCTGTTAAACCTGATCTCGTAATGCTGAGGCGTAAAATAGTGCTTGACTTTTATTTGTTCCAGAATATCTTTGCAGACTGTGAAAGGGCTTTGAGTCACTGCTGTAGTGGAATGTAGTGGCTTCTGTTAACTGTCAACTTCTGTGAAGGCAAGTCATCGATTCCCACATTCCTGTTTGCTGTTAGTATGTGTTGCACTGTTGGTTTTTTTTCTTCCTTACAGTATCCTTTTTTGTCCCTGATAGTTTGTGTTATATGTCCAGTAATGAATTTGGAATTCTGCAACAAAATGTTGTGTAGCCAATACTTTGGTGAGCTTTGATGTTTATCCTTTCTTACATAAAAGAATTCAGAAGTGAGAAGAAATGTGCGCAGCATGCATTGGTACGTGACTACCATTGCACAGAAAGCATTCAAGCTTTGTTGTGGTTTTTTTGTGCACATCATGTACATGCAATTACCTACATGTAAGAAATTACCTACATGTAAGAAAAAGTGATCAGAATCTGATTCGTATTAAGGCTTAACTGTAATTTTGTAATAACAGATGTTCATAAAAGCATGGGAACGTTTGCAGAGATCATTGGAACTATGCTGTTGGAAATATCTCAGTTTGAGGGTAGGCATTTTGAGTAGAAAGATGCTCCTATTTAGTTTGTGGACAGCTCTCAGTAATACTGTTACAGAAGTCTTAATGCATTTAGTTATGAGACTGCACCAAAGGGCCCACTTCTAACCTGAAGTGTGAGCATTGTATCAGGCTTTAGGTCCGTTCTCTTGGAAGTAACTGTAGTAAAGCCCTCTGACCCACATGCTAATACTAGTTTTCATGAGTTCCAGTGAGCACATGTTATGCTCACAAATTAAGAAATGTGTTTTAGCAGATCCTGTAACCAGAGGCTTTGTGGACAGGCAGCCAGACTGAAAGCATTCATGGGGAGGAAAGCTAGAGTTGCTGGGGGATTGTGGTGATTTTATTTATGCTTTCACCTTTGCTGTGTTTCAGCAAGACAGTTATGGATTTTACAGGTATATCTAATTTGTATAGGCTTTAACATTATGAATTCATTCAAGCTTTCTTCTGAATCAGCTGATTTTAAAAGTTCAGTCATAGGACGATGGGTCAGCCATCTCACCTTGTTTGGTTCCTATAATATGATTACGTAAAACTTTCTAGTGGGAACAGTTTGCTCTGTTCGTATCCCCTAAGGTTTGCATTAGCTTGTGAAGCAGAAAACAAGAAATAACCAGAAAACCAGAAAGAACCAGTAGATGCTTTGAAATGTTAATCTGTGAGCACAGCAGAACAAACTTACTGAAAAACATGCTGACTGATTATTTCATTTTTCAAACACTTTTGAAGTCATGCATTTGAAGTAGAAAGACGACTTGTCTCGTTATGTAATGTAGTACTTTCTGGATCCAGACTGCAACAAGCGTGCTGAAGTTAGCAGGAGGACTACCTTCGCTGTGCTCAGCAAAGCTGCATTTTGTATGTAAAGCTAAGTATGTGTTAAATTTTTGTGGCGTGACTTAACAGGAAGGACAACTCAGCTGCAGCTCAGTCTTTGTTCCCTTTTCCTGAAGAAGAAGGGAGATGCCTTGTCAAAGAACAAACATTCATCAATCTTGTTCCCCTGTTTTATATCTTTATTTTTCCGATGTATAGCGAATAAAATGCGTAATAAATTGTTGGTGGCATTTTATAGTGTATGTAAGGCTTCCTATTAAGTTCTCATTTAAATTAAGGATTTAATTAAGCATAGAAGGAAACCTATACTAGTGAACTGTTTATTTTCTCCCTGCCACTGAGGAGCTAAGGGTGGGCATATTTCAATTTATTTTTTTCCAGAATGATTTCAAATTGGCTTTATATTGATAACTGACTTGTCCTAGGTTAACAGTGTTACCATTCCTCTCAGATCAGCTTTCAGGCTATATGAAAGGGAGGAAACAAATGTGTTTGGCTTCTCTCATTTTCTGTATCCCTATGGCTTCTATTGAGAGTTTGGTCCCCAGTGTGTGCATACATTGATTTATTAACTGATGGGTCAGAAGTCATCAAAAAAGCATACTTGGTATTTCAAAAAAAAAAAGCAAACAAACCAAGCAAAACTGAAGCAACTGTCAAAGTCAGTATTTAGAACTCGTTTTCAAAAATTGGATTAGTTTTTTTGTCCTGGCTAAATTAAAAGTATAGGTTGTGGGTGGATTCAGGGTTAGAATTTGGAGGTCAGAACAGGTGACTTCCAGAAGGCACTTCCAACTGAAACTGTTCTGTGTGTTTGTAATGCATGTTTCTGTGAGCACTGCTCCTGTTCTTTTAAAACATACTGGACAGAGAGCTGAGTGAATGAGCAGATCAGTACAGATTGGCTACAGATTTCTTAGGTTATTGAAAAACGTATAGCTGCTCATACGACTTAGAAAAACCATTTCTGTGTAATCTTGAGGTTGAATATATTTGGAATTTGAGAAGTCAATTTTTTGTACAGTTGCAGACATTGAGTGCAACGACGTGACTTGGTGCAGCATGTGAATTAGTGGGAAAAATGGAGCTACTTTTCCTGCTTTACTTGTCTGGTCTTGAAATTGCAGCTGAGTATTATTCTTCCTTTTCCTCTCCCTGTTCATCAAAAAAACATTTTGGTATGTTTTCCGTGAGGAGAGATGGAAGTGTATTAGGTGTGAAAATTGTGAGCTCTGTCTCTTACTGCAGTAGGAAGTGTCCCGCAGTGTGCCCTTACAGTGCACCCTTCAGGTGACAAGGAAGTCCCAAGAATCCTTATGAAGAAGCTGTCATTGGACAATTGAGATGTTTCGAATTTAAGAAGCAAGCTTCTACTTGCTGTTTTTGATGGGTCAGAACAGGGGGGTGGGGGGAAAGACTCTGCAGAAATAGAACAATATATTTGTAATATTTTCAAATTTTCTGTAACATCCATGATTTTTTTTCTATTTATTTTTTAATTCCAAAACTAATCTCTGACAAACCGTGCTACATCCTCGATATTGCAGAAGGAATCTAGTGCTCTTAACATCATTTAATTATGCTTTTGCATCTGTGCGGCTGCTGGTGAGACTGTGATTACACTGTATTTGTAATAGGTGCACAGTTAGCAGCCTGTGCTATGCAGTGTGTTGTACAAATGGCTCAGGATTCAGTTTAAATTTTCCTTGAAGTTTAAACTTATCCTGAGATCCCTGAAGTTTAGTTACTCTCTGCAAGTTGTACAAAAACTGATGAGAAGTACAGTTTGTACAAAAGAATGTAAAGTTTCAAATGGGCGACACTTATATTGGTGTAAACCTTCAGAAGTACAAATATGTGCAGCCTTACCAGCTGCTCTTTTGTCACAGAAATGCACTCTATTCCCAACACGTGACTTTTGGTCTCTAGTTAACTGGAAGAATGTGAGGATGCAAACCAAAACACGTTAAAATGAGCGTCCCTGGTCCCTTCCAAAAAAAAAAAAAAAAAGGCAATGAGGTCCTGGTAAGTGTTGGTTGTTGCTGCCCACTGGCCAGTGTTCCTCAGGGGAATACTATGAAATGCTGTTAGTAAGCTTATCCACTGAAATGCAACACAGCAGTACGTGAGATTAGCAGTGTAAGTAGTTGTTTGAAATCATAGAGTATTCCACTGTATTTGCCCTTGATAGAATTGCAGTGATGGTAAACGTGAGCAAGAAACTGGTGGTAGC